ATCCATCCATCCATCCATCTATCCAAGCACCCATCCATCCATCCATCCATCCATCCATCTGTCTGTCCATCCATCTTCTACGGCTTATCTGAAATCGGGCCACTGAGGCAACAGGTCCAGGAGAGAAACCCAAACATCCCTCTCCCCAGCAACACCCTTAAGCTCATTCTGGGGGGATACTAAGGTGTATCCAGGCCAGAGAAGATACACAATCCCTCCAGTGACTTCTGGGTCTTCCCCGGGGCCTCCTACCAGTGGGACATGCCTGGAAAACCTCTAAAGGGAGGTGTCCAGTTGGCATCCTAATCAGATGCCTGAACCACCTCAACTGACTATTTTTGATGTGGAGGAGCAGCAGTTCTACGTTGAGCTTCCCCAGGGTGATGGAGCTTCTCATCCGATCTCAATGCCTAAGTCTGGCCACTCTGTGAAGAAAGCCCATTTCGTTTGCTTGTTCTCGTTCTTTCAGTCATGATCCAAACCTCATGACCAATGGTGAGGGTTGGAACGTAGATAGACCAGTAAATAAAGAGCTTTGCCCTTCAACTCAGTTCTCTCTTTACAATGACAGACTGAAGCCCTCATTACTGAGGATGAGGTCCCAATCTGTGAATCCATCTCTCGCTCCATCCTACAATCACTTGTGAACAAGACGCCCAGATACATGAGACAGGACTTGTTTTGGGCACTGTCTACGGAAAACATTTTTCTGATGCTCATCTGACAACTTAAATCCAAACCATCTCCAAATAGCAGCCACTGTTTTCCTTTTTGCTCTTAGATGTCCTCTCCTGTGTTTACTTGTGCTAAACTCCCGCCCACCTGGGGGGAGCATTTCATTGTACTGCTAAGCCTGCATATGACAAATAAACACACTTAAACTTGAACTTGACTTGAACTTGACCCTCTTGGCATCTCTGTAAGGGTGAAGATCTGGTCCACTGTTCCACAACCAGGACAACAGCCACACTGCTCCTCCTGAATCTGAGGTTTGAGTCAGTCTGAGTCTCCCTTCCAATACCCCTGGAGTAAATTTCCTGGGGAGGGTAAGAAGTGTCATACCACGACAATTGGACCGCACACTCTCAGGTCCCCATTTTTAAAAATGGAAATCACCACCCCGGTGTGCCACTCCAAAGGCATTGTTCCAGTCCTCCATGTAACATTGAAGAGATGTGTCAACCATAATAGCCCCACAACATCCAGAGCCTTCAACATCTCTGGGCAAATCTCATCCACCCCCGGCGCCCTGCCACGAGGAGCTTTTTGTCTACCGTGGTGATCTCTGCTATGGGAATGGACTCATCTTCCTCCAAGTCCTCAGACTCTGCCTCCTGAAAGGTGGACATGGTGGGTGGATTAAGGAAATCCTCAAAATGCTCCTTCCACTGCTCGACAATATCGTCAGTCTGAACCGAGCACAAAATTGAAAGGGGGCTGCCTTCCTTTTCTGAGTTCCTGGATGGTTTTCAATAACCTCCTCAAGTCTAAATGAAAGTACTTCTCCATGGTCTCCCTGAATTCATCCCATATCCAAGTTTTTACATCCTCAAACACTGAAGCTGCAGTCCTTCTGGCCACCTTTTACCTGCCAGCTGCTTTAGAAGTCCTCCAGGACAGCCAAGTTCTGAAGGAGACAGTTGAGGTGGTTCGGGCCTGTCCAACTGGGAGGAGACCCCGGGGAAGACTCAGGACACGCTGGAGAGACTAGGTCTCTTTGTTGGCCTGGGAACACCTTGGAGTCCACCCAGAAGAGCTGGAGGAGGTGGCTGTGGAGAGAGATGTCTGGACCTCCCTGCTCAAGATGCTGCCCCCGAGACCTGACTTTGGAATAAGCAGAAGATGATGTATGTATGTATGTATGGATGTATGTATGTATGTATGTATGTATGTATGTATGTATGTATGTATGTATGTATGTATGTATGTATGTATGGATGGATGGATGGATGGATGGATGGATGGATGGATGGATGGATGGATGGATGGATGGATGGATGGATGGA